TGGGGGGGGGGGGGGGGGGGGGGTTGCTATAATGGATACCTATAAATGTCCTTACCTGGTCACAGTTCCAACCCAATCGTAACAAATTGTAACACAAAGATTAACACACTTTTACACAAATCGTCTCAACTCATTTGTGTTTCTAAAGTGACTTTTTCCGCATGTTATCTTTATTATAGATCCTTTATTTCCAGTATTTCAGATATGAACGGTTATCATATACAGACATATTTAGATTGCTGACCACACACAAGCAGGCAATAATGAGGACTAGGTATGCAGTCCACTAAAGCCGGAGGATTGTCCATGCACTTTCGATGGAGTGCCCTAAAGTCTGTTCCCCATAACAACCTGCCTCGCTCCCGGTGTAAACATGCCTGCTGTCTTCACAACGACAATATCTACGTGGTAGGAGGGAAAGATGGAAATGTCGCACTTAAGGAAATATGGAAATTTCATATTGGTATGCAACATTTCATTTTAGTGTATTTTTTTGATAACAATTGAGTTAGATTTTACTTCATGGCAGGGCGAGTAGCATCCTGGGGGCAAGTTCTGTCTAATATTGGTATACAATGCGTTCATAATAATGGTGTCAGTCGAATACTGCAGTGAAACATTTAGGTTTGGATTCCTGGCTTGTGGTTTCTAGAATATGGTTTGGTTAGGATTTCACTTTAAGTGTTCTTTTTTTTCAGTAACAGTCAATCTGATTGGTTGACCATGGTCAACCAAACTATACCCAAAACATAAAAAAAGCTGGCAAAAAGGAAGTGATGATGAAACTACTTTAGTTACCTGATAAGCATTGAGGTCTTTGTCATTTTTCAAAATAGATATTAGTTTTAAAACATCTTGATTGTAGTTAGATCTAGACTCTTCTCTGTTACAGGGAGTCACAAGTGGGAGAAGCTCACCTACCGTGGAGACAGTCTGCCTATCCTCGAGGGCCACACTCTGGTCGCACACAAAGTATGTATACCTTGTTACCTCCCCTGACATATGGCTTGGAAAACAGGCAAATATTTCCCCAAATAGTATTTCCTGGTGTCATAACATTTTTTGGTGTCAACGACCTGTCAGAACCAATTTCACCAGTGCCATATCTAGACATTCTAAAGACTATTCTTCAGTACCCTTTAGCATATCAAGGGGGGAAACATCTCAGTACTTTTATAGTCTAAATGTGCCCTACTCTCTTATCTGGTTATCTGAGCCAAAGGCGCAAGTGATCTATTGCCATCCATTGTCTAGTAACTGATGACATCTTCAACATCTCCTTTAGAGCCCCATTGCCTGGTAGTTGGTTGGGTATGTTTAAAACAATTACCTTGACCTTCGTTCAAGGTCTCAAAGGTAAAACGTATTTCAATCATTAAGATTAGTCTTCTCAAGTTCAAGGAGTCTTTCATGTGATCATATTGAACCAGTAGGTAGAAGGGGATTGAATGCTCTAAAATCCATTCAAATTGATGACCATAGCATTGATTTGAGGTCACTAGAGAGGGTTCTAATATATATATTCTGAATTCTAGAAGACAATGGGTCATTTGCGGTAGTGTTATCAGTAAGGGGCATTTCCATTCCCCAGGAACCACTTACCG